CAGGTCGATCTTATGAGGGCCCGAAAGTGGCCCTCCGTTTCAGGCTGAAAAGCCTCAGGGCTGAAAAGCCCTGTTTTAGGCTGGAACGACATAGGGCCTGCAGGCCCTCGTTTTTCAGTCTTTCAGGCTGAAACGACAGGGGCCTGTAAGCCCTTATTTCTAGGCTTTTAGGCTGGGAATGCGGGACGGGCCCTGCAGGCCCGTGTGGCTACGCAGTATGCCACAGTCGCTCTGCTGCTTGTTCGCTTGCCCTCTCGTCCCTTGCAGTGTGGTTGTCTTGGTAGTGTTGCCTGGTGCTTCACTGCTTGGGTGCCCTGCTGGGAGTTCGGTGTGCCGTGTCGTTCCTCACAGTCGTTTTGGCGTTGTGCAGCCGTGTTGCCTCTACTGTGTTGCCTGGTGCTTCACAGGGTCGCTGCCCGCTGCTATGTTCTTCTTGGGGACAGTCTACCTTCAACAAGGGTCAAAGGGTTCATGACCCAAACCATCAAATACGGGGATTCCGCAGATTGTCGAGGGTTCAGCCTCCTGATGAGTCGGTGCAACTCCGACGAAACAATCTATCATCAGCTTTTATTTTATTTTTTTCGGCTGTTGTTTTTATCTTGTTGTAGTTTGTCTTGAGCTGTTTGTTGGCCCATGCCATTCAGCCGAGCATGTGCCTTGCTGCCTTGCACTGTTCGTCTGCCCATCCACGTTCCCCATGCCCTCGTCTATGTCTTTTGCTGGACTGTCTTTCGTGCCTCAGTGTTGTGTKCTGTTTGTTTGCCCACCCACCTCCCCCGTGCCCTCCTGCCTATGTCCTTTCTGTTTGTACTGTTCAGTTGTCAACGTCTGGTCCACTATGGGGTTATGTGAGAATTGTCTTCGAGTTGTTTAGTGCATGGGTCTCTCCTTGGGGGTTGCCAGGCGGAGTACACTTGTTGTGTACTGGAGCTATATCAGAGTGTGTTTACACACACACACACACACACACACACACAGACACACACACACACACACACACAACACACACACACACAGACACAGGGTGGGCACAAAACTGCAAAATGAGAATGAATCTTCCAAGAGAGGGCGCCAAGATTCATTCTCATTTTGCACAGCGGCAAAATAGATCCGTGCGCCTCTCTCTCTCTCTCTCTCTCTCTCTCTCTCTCTCTCTCTCTCTCTCTCTCTCTCTCTCTCTC